ACCAGCGGCAAGGGCGTCTCGGGCTATAGCTTGCCACAGTTTTTGCCTTTCGTTACCAGCCGTGTCAACGGCTGATGACGTAGGCTCGGGTGCCAGCAGCTCAGGAGGAGGAGGCGGGGGCCAGTGCTCGGCGCCGCCGTCTCCAGTATCTCTCACGGGTACCGTCGGTACTCGTGGAGTAGCTGCAGGGAGTGCCAGAGTAACGGAAACAGAAGATACCGCTCCCGGTGGCAAATGCACTACCTGGGTGGCCGGCGGCAGTGGGCAAGAACTTTGTTCCCGCGGCTGTGAAGCCGCCTTGAACGGAGCGGCATCAAGGCATTCTGAGGCAGCTTTGGCAGCCTTTTGTTCTGCCTGGTGTTGTTTAAAAGCATTAGCAACAGCTCGCCAAGCCTTCTGGTACTTCTTAGCTGTCTGATCATCATTTAATACAGTTTCCCACAACTTATCTCCAAAAATTCACCACTCTTCTACACAGAAAATTGTATTAGGATCTATAAAACAACCCTTAGCTACTCCCAATGCTAACAACCCCTGTAATTCTTTATCTAAATTAATATCTTTAATGCCTCACTTTTGTAAAAAGCACTTAAGCAAATCATGCATCGCTTGTCTTTCCATACCTGTACAGGATATTTCAAAACTGTTGCAGCCCTTGCAAGACACTGGCGATGCTCTGTCGGTTGAGACCTGTATGTGCAGTTGCTCAGAGCACAGAGCTAAGTCTATAGCCTCCCTGCAGTTGAGACCCGTTCAGACGGTTGCTCGGGGTGCGGGGGCCAGCTCTTTCGCTTTCCCGTACTGCGGTCGGGACCGACGTTTGTACACGTTGGACCGTGGCGTGCTGGGTTCGTCAGAATCTCGCTCGTTCGGGCACCATTTGTTGGAAAATGTCCCAGACATGGGAAAGCAGGGACACTCAATATGAGAATCAACATGCTCCGTTTATTGAACACAAACCACAGCAAAATATAGGATAGATAATGAGCTTATTAATATTCTGTAATTTAACTACATGATTGGTAAGAGCCCTAGAGGTCTGGACCGCCTTTATTTCGTGTTTGTAGGGATCCTCAGTTTTTCATTTTCCAAGGATGTAGTAATAACAAGATATTGTTATTGAGCAACGGCTATTGCTAAGAGATTGGCATGACCTTGCTTGGACAGCAGCTACACCAGCTGTGCTTAAAGTTGTTGAGTCGATACCCTCTCAGCTCCTGTGAGTCTGCATGCCTCTTTTCATGTAGCCATTTCTCCACAGTCATAGAATCATAGAATAGATTGGGTTGGAAAAGACCTCCAAGATCATCAAGTCCAACCCCTGATCCAACTCCAATTACTATATCATGGCACTAAGGGTCACATCCAATCACTGTTTAAAAACCTCCAGGGATGGTGAATCTACCACCTCTCTGGGCAGGCCGTTCCAATGCCTGATTACCCTCTCTGTAAAGAATTTCTTCCTAACATCTAACCTAAACCTCCCCTGGCAGAGCTTGAGCCCATGTCCCCTTGTCCTATTGTTGGTTGCCTGGGAGAAGAGACCAAGCCCCACCTGGTTATAACCTCCCTTCAGGTAGTTGAAGAGAGTGATGAGGTCACCTCTAAGTCTTCTCTTCTCCAGACTAAACAACGCCAGCTCCCTCAACCTTTCCTCATAGGACTTGTGCTCAAGTCCCTTCACCAGCCTCATTGCTCTTTGGACCCGCTCCAGCACCTCAATATCCTTCCTGAACTGAGGGGCCCAGAGCTGAACACAATACTCAAAGTGTGGTCTCACCAATGCAGAGTACAGGGGAAGGATCACTTCCCTGCTCCTGCTGGCCACACTGTTCTTGATGCAGGCCAGGATGCCATTGGCCTTCTTGGCCACCTGGGCACACTGCTGGCTCATGTTCATCTTCCTGTCGATCAGCACCCCCAGGTCCCTTTCTGCCTGGCTGCTCTCCAGCTACTCTGTGCCCAGTCTGTAGCGTTGCATGGGGTTGTTGTGGCCAAAGTGCAGGACCCGGCACTTGGTCTTGTTGAACTTCATTCCCTTGGAGTCAGCCCATCTCTCCAGTCTATCCAGATCCCTCAGTAGAGCCCTCCTGCCTTCCGGCAGGTCAACACTCCCTCCCAATTTGGTGTCATCTGCAAATTTGCTGCTGATGGACTCAATCCCCTCATCTAAATCATAGATAAAGATGTTAAAAAGGACTGGGCCCAGCACTGACCCCTGGGGAACACCACTGGTGACCAGTCGCCAGCTGGATGCAGCCTCATTCACCAGCACTCTCTGGGCCCGGCCCTCCAGCCAGTTCCTGACCCAGCACAGAGTGCCCCTGTCCAAGCCATGGGTTGTCACCTTTTCCAGGAGTATATTATGGGAGACAGTATCAGAGGCTTTGCTGAAGTCCAGATAGACCACATCCACAGCCTTTCCCTCATCCACCAGGTGGGTCACCTGATCATAAAAGGAGATCAGGTTGGTCAGACAGGATCTGCCCCTCCTAAACCCATGTTGGTTGGGTCTGATCCCTTGTCCATCCTGTAGCTGCTGTGTGATTGCACACAGGATGATCTGCTCCATAACTCTGCCAGGCACCGAGGTCAGGCTAACAGGCCTGTAGTTACCAGGGTCAGCCTTGCAGCCTTTTTTATGGATTGGGGTGATATTTGCCAACTTCCAATCATATGAGACCTCCCCAGTGAGCCAGGACTGTTGGAAGATGATGGAGAGTGGCTTGACAAGCTCTTCTGCCAGCTCCCTCATTACCCTAGGATGGATCTTGTCTGGTCCCATAGACTTGTGAGGATCCAGATGACTCAGTAAGTCGCTATTTCCTCCTGGAATACAGGGGGGCTATTTGGCTTCCTATCTCTGTCTACCAGCTCCAGAGACCAGTTGCCTTGAGGACCACCTGTCTTACTGGTAAAAACTGAGGCAAAGTAGGTGTTAAGTACCTCAACCTTCTCTTCATCTCTATTAACTATGTTTCCCTCCAAGTCCATCAAAGAATGGAAGTTTTCTTTGCCCCTCCTTCTGTTATTAATGTATTTATAGAAGGACTTTTTGTTATCCCTATGTTGCCTAAATGGTTGTGGGGAAAAAAAGACTCAAATTAGGTAGGAGATAAGATAAGGGTACAAAGGTTTTAATGAGCCCCCAGGCTTTCTGGAATACCTCCAGCGTGGACTCCTGAAATACAAATGTTCACAGTTTTTATAATGATTTTCACCCAATCCAGTCCAGTCACCACCCAGGTTCTGCCCCCGCCACGCCTCTTGGAATTTGGGTCTGGGGTTGTTTTGGGACCCCCTCTTCTTCATCTTCATCTTCCTCAGAGCACATAATGTCCTTGGAGGCCTTCCAGAATTCTAGGCCTGAAGGTTTTTGAGTCTATGGCTGTATCTTCTTCCGTAGGGTTAGGGTGTTCTTCTACCTTGAAAAAGAGACTAAAAAGGCTGTGGAATTTAGGGAATTGATATGGGAATGGGTAAAAGGGGTTTGAGTTGGTGTCATAGTTCTGATTTCAACAAGGAATTTTTCTTTCCCTTCCCCCCTGCATGTGTGCTCTGTGGACGAGCCATCAGGTGAACAAAAGAATCGGCCTGGTCACTAATAGCTGAGAGATTAGTCTCCTAGCAATGAAGGGGAAGGAGTTGGGGAGGGTTACTGGGGTGTGCGACTGGAAGGGGGTGGAGGCTGGGGGGGGAGGGCAGTCTCTCGGCCCTAAGGGGAGCTGCTTCGAGCTGCAGACACTGCCTGGTTTCTTTGGTTTTTTTCCTGTCGGAGGGGAGTTTTGCTGTTGCTCTCAACTTAGCTGTTGCTGGCTGCAGGCACTGCTTACAATGGACCCTAAATCAGCTGAAGTTCGTGAGTTTTCTTCCATGGGGAGAACTTTCTGTTTTATTGCTGTTTGTTTTCCTTCCCTTCCCCCCCCCCCCTCACCTTGCGGCAACCAAGGATCTCACAGCGCTGCCTGGTGACAGGCACTGGACATTACAAGTTTTTGCTCCTCCAGCGATCCAACAGTGCCACCTGGTGACTACTATAGGACACTACAAGTCCTGCACCTCCAGTGACCTAACAGCGCCACCTGATGAATGGTACAGGATATTACAAATTTTGCATCTCCAGTGACCCGACGGCGCCCCCTGCTGACTGTGGTTGGAACTGCACCAGAGGGTGCTAAAAATTGAACTATTTAATTTCCCTTTTGCCGGTTTATTGGTTTTGTTCTTGTGTTCCTGTTAATACACACATACCTTTTAATAAAGGGTTGTTATTTTTCCCTTTTCCATAATTTGTTTTCCTTCAATCGGAGCCTCTTAATTTTGGATTTATAATTGCTTAGTAAAAGAAGTTTGGGTCTTTTTCTCCTAATCCATCCTCAGCAAAAGACCCTTGTCTCATTTAAACTGGGACAGTTGGTGTGTTAAAGGGTAAAGGGATAATATGCTGCTACTCTAAAATCTACATTTACTACATAACTACTGCTAAGATCTACAAAAATTTAAAAAATCAAAACATCAAAACTCTAAGGTATCACCTAACAGAAGTGGCCAAATTAACTTCAAATTGCACTTTTGTATCCCTGATTTTCCTTCTGCATGATCTAGCTGTCTTCCTAAATTCTTTGTAAGTAGCCAGTCCTTTCTTCCATAGTCGGTAAACTCTCTTTTTATAGTGGAAGGTATTCAAATTCTCTTTTGTACCTGGGTGTTTGGGGGTGTATGTGCATGTGTTGAGGCTGGGAAAAGATATGCTACCTTACAAACAAGATCCTACTTTGGAAGGCATTAATCTGCTGTTTGATGTCAGCTTCTGACAGAAGTTTTGAATCTGCTTGCCACTTGATTGTATACACAGAGTAATTTTCTAACTTTAGTCTTGCTATTTAAAGCAATCTAGTATGAAAAGGTTTGTCAGATGGTGCTTTTACTAAAGACTTTCTGAAACAAAAACCTTTCATGTGTTTATATATAAAAAGCTATGCCTTTTTCCAATTTTATGCTTACTGGGCTAGAAGAGAGGCAAGGCAACCATAGACTGAAGGGGTATACATATTTCCATTCTGAATGGATACAAGTAATGAATCTTTGGTTTTCTGATTGAAGAGCTCTGCACTGGCTTTCATAAAAGCTTTTTCCATATCTCTGTCAAAATATGTATCTTCAAGTTTTACATCTCTATTAAAAAAAAAAAAAAACTTTAGAAACTTATTAAAATGGCAGCAAGGAAAAACTACCTTGAATGTTTAAGAAATTAGGACTACCTGAATAATAAGGAAGACAGAAGTCATTCTTACCTGAAAGCTTCCAAACCACTGAAAACACCATTTGCTGTTTCTGGGTTCTGGTCACTGAGAAAGTCATTCAGCAATAGTCTAGCCACAGATTTCTGTACCAGTTTACAGTAGGGTAAATGAAAGATCATGAATCCAAAGTCATTCAAGGTGAAACATCTGTCTGTCCCCTCTAGAAGCAGTAGAAATGTGTTACAACTTAAATTTAATACTCACTTGAAGTATTAAAATAAAATGGGGGATGGCAAGATACCAGTCATCATAGTATATCAGCATACATAAGACTAACTATTGTTGGCAAGTTTGTTTAACACACGGCTACTACTTCTATTCAAAAAATATTTTCTTACTCATCCCGTGCACCATCTAGCAATGTTTGTCCTTTTTCTTCTAGAAAAAAAAAAAAAGTTAAAAGCTTAACAGAATCTCAGTATTTCTACACAGTATTTTGAAATAAATAGCCTACTTCATAGAATCATTAAGGTTGGAAAAGACCTCCAAGATGATTGAGTCCAACCTATAACCAATCCCCACGTTGCCAACTAGACCAGAGCGCTGAGTGCCATGTCCAGTCATTCATTGAACATCTCCAGGGATGGGGACTCCACCACCTACCTGGGCAGCCCCTTCCTATACCTTACAACACTTTCCATACAGAAATTCCTCCTGATGTCCAACCTGAACTTCCCCTGGAACAGCTTGAGACCATTTCCTATCGTCTCCCTTGTTCCCTGGGAGCAAAACCCGCCCCCTACCTGGCTCCGCTCTCCTGTCAGAGAGTGAAAAGGTCCCCCCTAAGCCTCCTTTTCTCCAGAGTAAACTCCCTCAGCTGCTCCTCATAGGACTTGTGCTCCAGACCCTTCACCAGCTTTGTTGCTCTTCTCTGGACATGCTCCAGTACCTCAATGTCTTTCTTGAAGTGAGGGATCCAGAACTGAACACTCACCAGTGTCAAGTACAGAGGGACAATCACTCCCCTAGTCCTTCACCTTATTGAACCTCATTGTTGGCCTTGGCCCATTGATCCAGCTTGTCCAGATCCCTCTACACAGACTTCTTGCCCTCCAGCAGATCAACATTTCCACCCAACTTAGTGCCATCTGTGAACTTACTGAGGGTGCACTCGATCCCCTTGTCCAGGTCATTGATAAAGATATTGAACAGAACTGGTCCCAGTACCAAGCCCCTGGGGAACCCCACTGGTGACCGGTCACCATCTGGATGCAGCACCATTCCCCACCACTCTGGTCCTGCCATCCAGAGTTCTTAACCCAGCAGAGAGTGCCCCTGTCCAAGCTGTGGGCTGCAGTATTTTCAGGAGAATGCTGTGGGAGACAGTGTCAAAGGCCTTATTAGAGTCCATGTAGATACATCCACAGCCTTTCTCTCATACACCATGCAGGTCACCTAGTCATAAAAGGAGATCAGGTTGGTCAGGCAAGACCTGCCCATCCTAAACCTATGCTAGCTGGGTCTGATCCCCTGGTTGTCCTGTATGTGCCGTGTGATCACACTCAGGATGATCAACCCCATGACCTTGCCAGGCATCAAGGTCAGGTTGACAAGTCTGGAGTTCCATGGATCCTCCTTCTGGCCCTTCTTGTGGATGGGTGTCACATTGGCCAACCTCCAGTCATCTGGGACCTCCCCAGTTGGCCAGGACTGATGATAAATGATGGAGAGTGGCTTGGTGAGCTCTTCTGCCAGCTCCCTCAGTACCCTCAGGTGAATCCCATCCAGCTCCATAGACTTGTGAGCGTCTCAGTAGCTCAACAGGTCACCAACTGCTTCCTCCTGGATTACAGGGGGTCTATTCTGCTCCCCATCTACTGGCTATGGGGGTCAGTTGCCCTGAGGATAACGGGTCTTCCTATTAAAGACTGAGGCAAAGAAGGTGTTAAGTACCTCAGCCTTTTTCTCATCCTTGGTGACAACGTCCAATAAAGGATGGAGATTTTCTTTGCCCCTCCTTTTGTTGTTGATGTATAAATAAAAACACTTTTTGTTGTCTTTCACAGCAGTGGCCAGACTGTTCTGCTGAGCTTTTAGCTCTCTAATCTCCTTGTACTCTTCCTGAGCTGCCTTGCCCCTTCTTCCAAAGATCATCAACTTTTTTTACCTCAGAGTTCCAGTCAAAGCTCCCGGTTCAGCCAGGCCAGACTTCTTCCCTGCCAGCTTGTTTGTTGGTACATAGGGACAGTCTGCACTTTTAAGATTTCCAACTAACTATCTAATCTTCAAACCTATACTTCTTAATAAAGGTGAACCAATTACTAAACATATGGAATTAAAAAAAAAAAAAATCAGTATCCTTATACGACAAGTAAATATTAACCTCAATATCTTAAGAGCCTTGGTAGAGGAAGGAACAACACACTTCAGATATTATACATTACACCAACAAAAGCCTGTAGAAACTACTGCTTAATGACTATTAAGTACTTAGCCATAGTCAAACAGAAATAAGACATTTCTTCATGGAAAAACACAAACAGTTCAATTGTCTCAGAGCACACAAACACAAAGAAAGGGACCATGCACTAGTCTTTAGATTGGATGCTAAAACTAGAAAAGATGCTATCTGTGTAGCTACACATTCCAATATTTACCAGATCTTGCAATATCAGGTGAGTCTACATACCCTTTTGCCACTGGGCATGGATTTTGTTGCGATAGACAGTATAGCAGCGATCTAATGCACTGAGGTAGCACTGTATAGATAATTTATCATCAACCACAGGATATTCAGAGACCATATCTGGTTTATAGAAGTCATACGCATGCTGTATGTGCGTTCCACGCAACCCTGATAGAGAGAAAGTGACAAAAACTGAGAAGTATTCAGTTACTTTGAGTCAGTTTGAACATATTGTTTAACACATGGAAAACAAGTAATATATGATCTCAGTCAAGCAGGTTTTCATAGCACTCCAGGCCCTTTAAGGTAATGTTTCACAGTTCTCAGTCACCTGTTACTCAAGTACAGTAGGACTGAGTATGACAAACAAGTAACAAATGATTTTCATCATTTCACCTTAAAAGTAGAGTGCTGGTTTTCATCTCTAGTCCACTCTGTCAATTCCATTAGACAATTCTCAAGTTAAAAACAGATAGAAACATCTTTAGTTGTTTCTTGCTGCCTCCTATAAAAGGAGGTTTGGATAAGTCAGCTCAGAACAAGAAGAGACAAAGTATAATTTCTGATATTAGTGGGAGTTAATCCAGCCCTCTAGCAACCCATGAAAACAGGGGATGGGCTCCAGAAGAGATCCAGTATCTGTCTAAACAGTATTTGTTTTCTTACAGGACTAACCTCTCTCAAAACTTAAGGGAGCATTTGGACCAACTAGCATAGCAACAGCACCAGCTCCACCTGTTGGCCTGGCATTTCCAGTGGCATACACAGCTATGTCTCCAGCAACAACGAGTGCATAACGTCCTGTGAAAAATACAGAAATAAGAATTAAAAGTAGCTGAGAACCTAGCACATTTTAATATCCATCAGTAATTTTTAGACTTTGGTTATAGAGGAGATGACTCCAGGATTAAGGGACTCTTCAATCCTGGCAGCCACCAAGTTACAGAAAGAGACCATTCATGATTATTCGCCTCATTATTTTTTGCATGTAACTGAACTGGTGAAAAATGCCCAGAGCATTTAAGAAAAAGACTTCAGAAGCATACAAGAGTTTACATGGGTCTTACATGGTTAAACACAAACTCTGTAATTGCAAGGCAGACTACTCAAAAATAAGGATTGATATAATTTTAAAAAAAAATACCCTGAACTTACCATCCCAAGAACTGGACTCAATCCAATTAATAGCATTAAAAAGAGCAGCAGTGCCTCCGTAGCATGCATTCATAGTGTCAATTCCTTCTACATTCATATTCCCAGATTCTTCAAAAAGCTGCATCAGGACAGTCTTTACAGATTTTGATTTATCAATTATTGTCTCTGTTCCAACTTCTAGTCTCCCAATACAATCATAGGAAAGGCGGTTCCTCTCCATGAGCTTCTTAACAACAGTTAAACAGAGAGAATTGATATCCTCCTGGTCAGAGCAGAACCCCATCTTTGACTGGCCTAGCCCAATTGTGTATTTGCCACCATTCCCACCATCATACTTCTCCAGCTCTGTCTGGTCAACGTACTGAGAAGGAAAATATATTTCAAGTGCAATAATTCCCACATCTTTGGGCCAGCAGGAGTCAGCATTCACTGGAAGAGACATAGGCATCGTGGTAATCTTTAAGAAAAGAAAAAAAAAAGAAAACACAAACCCCAGTTGATTTATTCACATCCATTTTTAGAGACCTATTTCATATATTATTTAATTTTCTGTAGATTTATAGAAAAGGTTAGGTTTTAGGTATTCTACAAGTTCATTTGTGAAAAGTAAACCTTTGCCTCCAGGTGAAATTTTGGTCTAAGCATGTTATAAACACCATTAGGAGCTTTATCACATACTGTATTAAGAAGCCCTTTTAAGCAAAAGTACAATTTTAGCCCTGAAGATGAATATACAAAGTTTACCCTCAAGTTATTTCACTGAAGCAACACACATGCCTAACAAATATGAAGTGTTTAAGAAATTAGTCTTTATGATCATTATTCTACTTTTGCTCATATGCAAAGTCTCAATTTTACACAACCGAGCTGGAAACAATGGGTTGGTGTGGTTTGGTTTTTTAAATGTTGCTAGTTGAGACATTAAGTTTAAAGTTCATACTTACCAGGAAGTCTCCACATTAAAACAGAGCAGGACTCCCAAAAATTGTTTTTATTTTAAAAATTGTTTTTATTTTTAAACTAAGTGGTCTAAGTTGCTTCATTTTGTTTATACTTGCAACAAAGATAGAAGATTTTGGTATTTTTGGTTGGGTTTTTTTTGTTTGTTCATTTGGATTTTTTTTTAAGCATACTGTTTTGGTGTTCCTGAACAATGAAACTCCTAATATCAGGTCTGAAGGAATATTCTTCCCAATAAATCAAGTTTTAACCCTCTAACTATACTGTCATTATACTCTAAAATATAATATGTCCTATTACTTTAATCCCATCTGCATTACACAGACAGGCATCATTTTCCTGAACATTTGCCTACATCCTTACAGAACACTTGTCCCTTTTGTGCCCAGCTGTACCATCATGCTGTCCTTACCTAGGTTCTTCAATAAAAATCCCAGAGAACTGGATAAAGGAATAAAGCCTTTCTAAGTAGAAACGACTTCACACAATGCATGGTGTTAGGAAGTGTTAGGAAAGCATTAGAAGTGCCTTCTGCTACATGTACAGTTAAATATCAAAGTCTTAGGTAAGACCTAAAGTAAGAGCACATGGCTAGCCATTCATTTTGATTGCATCTAACAAATTTTCAAAAACATACCTATGATGCACCTAAAATAATCCATTTAAAAATATTTCATTTATAGCATTTATTCACAGTAAACCATGTAAATTACAGAAGGTTGCTATTTAAAACTGATTACTGGAGTGCTGCAGAACAGCTGTACAGTGTATTGCTGTTGAAATGAGGTACCATGAGAAGGTTAAAAATTCACTGAAGTATAGTGCAGGATAAATAAAAGAACTTATGAAAAATGAGGGAATAATCAAACCTGCAGGAGCCAAAAGCCATGATCCAAAAAGTAAGAACAGGAGGTCACTATAAATCAAACTACAAAGAAAACAAAGCTGTTGATAAAACCAAAGAAGAACTTTGCACCATCCTTAGTCATTAACCTAGCAAAATCCCCGCCCAGTGATTGTAATCGCCTCTTACTCACATAAGCTCCTTCCCCCTGGAGCATGTGCAGTAAAACAAGTGTGCACTGTACCTTTGAAAGGAAACGAGAATGCAGAGCTAATGACGAGTTTGAAGTTGTTATATATATGGGAAACGTCAATTTTTTATTGTTCGAAGGGTACAAAAATGAGCACTTAGCACACTGAATGTATGCCAACTTTATAGATTTACCACCGAGCACCTGTCTCTGTACAAATATGAAACAAAACTAAATATCTTGACTCTGAGTGTGGATTGGCTTCTTGCCAAGCAGGTGAAAGAACACAAATTTGGGACAACACTGCCACAAGATTTCAAGCAAGAAAACCAATTTTGCGTTGTGTGCTCTGCTGCCACCCAAGGTTCATGATTTTGCATCTGCTCACCCGAAAAGCGCAGTACTCGCAAACACCCCACAATAATGTCCAGATAAAACCGAGCGTCATGACTGACCGGAACTCCTTTTTTTCTTAATCCATCCTGTTGCGAAGCCCCGCAACTCAGATGATCGCTCTGCGGCCTGCAGCGCCCAGTCGGGGGCTTGCCATTCCACTTCATTCCAGCCTCATGACACTGCTAAGGACACCGAAGGCACCCCCATGCCTCAAGGTTAACCGTGACCCATCCAGGAAGACTGCGAGGAGCGACTGCGGTGCAGTGTGTAGCGTCTTAATCTGGAATTCCAAACCTGACTCTCAGTGCTGGGGAACGTGCATGCACATGTGATGCCATCCGGCTCGGGCAGCACGCAGGTGCAGGAAGACACTTCTCTCCCCACCCCACCCCTTCCCCAGGTGAAGCTCCTGCCCTGCCGGCCCGACCTGGCCCAGCTCACACCCCTTCGTGGCTGAGGAAAAGGCAGAGCATTCATCTGCAGACTCCCCCCATTCTAATGGGGTCCCTCAAGGTGAGGACTAAGTTGTTGTTTTAAGTATCTTGCACAGTAAACCCAGCAGCACGAGCATGGAAGCAAACCCAATAAAGACTGAAAATAAAATCCACTATCACCCAAAATTCCTGGTTTTGACAGTCCCTGACCATAGACTACGCTATCCTGCAGTCACATCACCTCTATTAACATTTAATTTTCTTATTTAAAAAAAGCAAGGCAGAATAATATCTACCTTCAAGAAGTTGACCCTGGTAGGCAGAATTAAGGATTTGACATAGCACACAGAGCAACAGTCACAGCTTTCCTGAAGCCACAGCCAGGGAAGGGAACATGGTTGCCTGGAGGCCCCTCAGGAGCTGCTAGGGCAAGTTCACATTTCCTCTCAGCACCACAACTAGCAAGTTACACACCTCCTGGAGACAAGGAGAAGCACTGAGCTTCAGACTCAACTCCAAGAACTGCATTTTACCCCAAATCTGCACGGGTGCTGAAGAGGAAAATGAGGGTAGTTTCCTGCTCTCTGTATGAATGCAGACATACTACTGACAGCGAGGTACCCAAGGTCCCAGCTGGGAAAGTGACTTCGGGGTCCATCTCTTTGTGACATAAAACACCTCCCTTTCTTTCAAAGAGAACAAAAAGGAAATACAGACAGCTGCCAACAGACTTCAAGCAGGTCCCAACTCAGTATGGTGTCTGGCAGCCACACTGAAACTCAGCCTTTTCCCAAAGCAGAGCTTGGTTCTGCTCCAAGAGCCAAAAAGATGAAAGTAAGAGGCTAATTAATTTTAATTAAGTTATATAGTAAAAGATAATGCATGACAACACATAATGGACTTGACCTGTAGCAGCCAAGAACAAGAGTGGGTTGCAACCAGGCAGTTAAAAGGCTTGTAAGTATCGAGTGCAAGTCCGTGTAAAACACTTGTCACATCATGAGAGGGTCCCAGATTGCTGCGACTCACCATGGCATGGACCATGTATGAACATGTCTGCACGAGACGGTATCTTGAATGTATTCATAAAGATCTATCTAAAGTGTTTCTCCTGCAGAGGTCAGCGTACTGCAGGGATCCCAGGCACCCTCTCTCTGGGTTTAACCCCAAGAACATCCGAAACTGAGACTTTGTTAGCAATGTCATAGTTCTGATTTTAGAAAGGAATTTTGTCTTTCCTTTCCCCTTTCCCCCCCCCCCCCGCATGAATGCTGTTAAATGACCATCAAGTAAACAAAAGAGTCAGCCTGAGTCCTAAACGATCGAGAATTAGTCTCCTGGCAACGAAGGGGGAGGAGTTAGGAAAAAGGCCAGAGTGTGTGTGTGGAAAGAGGTGGGGTTGGTGGGTGGGAGCTCAGTTCTGGAGCGGGAGGGGAGGCTGCAGCAGAGAGGAGAGACTGCCTGGTTTCTTCTTTGTCTTTTCCTGTGGGAGAGGAGTTTTTTTGCTGCTGTCTCGCTGCACAGTTGTCTGCTGATTGCGGTGGCGGGATCTTCACCAACTGAGTCGTGAGTTTTTTCTTCCATTGGGAGAACTTTCTGTTTCCCTTTCCCCTTCCCCCCTCCTCCCTCACCACCGGGCGGCGACCAGGGATCCCACAGCGCCGCCCGGTGACGAGCGCTGGACATTGCAAGTTCCACTCCTCCAGTGATCCAACA